AATCAAACTGGTTACATTCTGTTGTTCCACGTTGTTTTTTCTCTAAGGGACAATATGTCTGTCTCAAAACATCTAATGAACTTGTTCAGCACCACCCCATTGAAACACTGTGCGAAAATGCAGCAAACTGTTGCCTTCTCTTCAGCCTCTACAGGCAGCACATGCTAAACAACCAAGAGACTCTCAAAAGAGATACAAACTCTGAGACACCTGTGAAAAGGAATGTGTAGCAGGACTGGATACTGGTTGAAGAAACACCGGCTGGGCAAAACAGGACAAGAGGCACCGCCTGCTGATGTGCTTCCTTGAGTTCTTTCTGAAGCATCTCAATTTTGCCAAGACAAAGGAAGTGGCATGGCACGAGGGCCTGTTTAATCAATCAGCAGTATTGAGAAACCACAACCCATTCATCTTTGCACTTGTTTGCACACCACCAGGACCAAGGGACTTCCCAGCCTCCATGCTCTTTATCGTTCCGGTGTACCCAGCATGTCCAGTGGCATAGTGTGTGGCTGCCTGGTGGAGTGCACAGAGTCCCAACAAACATCAAGGACACCAAACCCATGAAAGTTTGCTTTCCCCTTTGCAATCACCGATCAGCTAAACATGTGCAAGGCTTACCAATATACACATCATGAATCGAGAAGGGTGTGGTCTTTTGGCTGCAAAACACCCACTGGATTTCAGTTTCTTGCTTTTGAAGCTTTTTGCCCAATGGGCCAACTGGAGCCGGAAAGAAGCAAAAGAACAGTGAATCAAAGTCTAAGGGACAGCCAGCCGTTGCATGCATCTCCAGTTTCTTGTGCAGCAAAACAGAAGCATGATTCATAGAGAACTACTCTGCACCTATTGTGCATTGACAGGATATCTGACATCTCATCATCTCAACATGTTGCTTCACGTGTATGATGCATCATGGTGCCAAAGTTTATCAACCGCAACGTTTCTGACGTTGCGATCTTCTACGGTTGGGCAACTAGGGCCCTGTGTCTACCATTTCCCTCTGAAGGCACCTTCTTTCAGATTCATGAGCAGTAGAGATCGTAGACTCGTAAAGCTTTCATTCCAGTATATTCCAGTCTGTGACAAACAAACATTTGATTGCTAGGCTATATCTGGCTTCAGTCAGGGCTACTCCATGTGTACTTCCTCCATGCAAATGTCCGTAAATAAGGTCACATGTCTGAAGAATCCACACCGAACAAACAACGCGCATGTCTTGATTAATTACGGACGATCTTGATGCACATGCCCAGCCTGGCGAGGAAGGAAAAGTAGGTCCAGAAAGTCCTTTACACCTCAAACGGCTCTGCTACATGCGGGTAGCCAGGTCTCATCTCCAACAATCGAAATCCGATAACTGCCGATTGCGGCCCAGCTGCTGATGTGTGTTTGGTCCGCAGGAAAGTCCTGCAAAGGACAACTGCATAGCCTGGGTGATTTCTATGACCAACCATGCATCTTTCCCCTCTTACAAGGTTTTGGGATGGGTTCGGGCCTCGGGGCACACCAATGTTGCTACATGTCTCTTATTATTTCAGCAAGTTCAATGGTGCTGCTCCATTCATAGCCCATGTCTGGAATTGGCATGTTTGCTCTGCACGAATTCATGCAACTCTAGCCGTGGTGGGGTTCCTTCTAGTTGAGCTCTTAGGTGCTTGGATCTTCAACAGCAATCAACGATTATGCATGGTCAAAGTGTCGCTGCGGAGCTCATCTTCCCAAGGCCACGAAAGCCAAACTAATAAACCGCATTGATGTAAGGGTTTTGTTGTGCAACATTCTCCAAAACACAAACGTATTGGTCAACCAACTTAACTGAACCAACCAAACTTAGCAACAGCGACCCAAATGAGGTTGATTGGGACACAAAGCCACCTGCCGCATGAATCATCTCTCCTGCAAAACGGCATTGGCCTCTGGCAATGTGCAATCAATGGACAGCAGCACCTCGATGCAACCTCAAACGTATGGGACTTCCAGGGTGCGTGCGATGCGCGCGCGTGCGTGAGTGAAGTCTTGCAGCGTGGAGCCGAGTCCCAGAAGCAGCGGAGCGCTCCACTCGACTCCACCCCGTTGTCTGAATGACAAAACTGACAATGTTGCACATGACACTCACTTGATACCCTGGAAGAATCTTGCCAAGCCCACCTAAGAGCTGCTGAAACATATTCCAGCGGCGTACGAGCTCCGAACGAGACCAAGAGGCGCTCACGATCCAACTCTGCGGAATCGCCCAGCCAGGACTCAGCAAAGGTTCTCTCGATGTTGCGCCGCAATTCCTGAGCAGCTGCGGCTGGTGGGATCCTTCTAACGACTCTCAAGTTACAGATACGTGAATGCACATCCATTCCAAGAAGTGCAGCATTGAGTTCCTCAATGCGCAAATTGCAGGATCTCTGGGCCCAGTAGAATAGAACAAAGGGACTTCGTAGCTATTTCTGACGACAGTGGGCGGGAGCAGTACAGTAGACAATTCTCAAGAATACTTCCAAAGAATCATCATCAACAAATCATCCACACTTTCGTACAGTATATATTATATATACTGGTTTCAAGCTCAGAGCCGGATTCGGAAAACTAATCGGTTGGATTCTGAAACTGGAAAATAAGATTCTGCAACTGGGTCTCTGAAACTATCTGAAACTGGTATTCTGAAACTGGAGAGTCAAATTCTACAACTGATGTTTAAAAACTGCGATTCCCACCCACCACCCCACCCCTGTTTTTGCTTTTGCTTGGATGCTTGGGGCCTGTGGTTGCTGCTCGAACTGTTGCGGAATCCAAACAGTGGCAGAATCCCAGCTGCGAAATCCTAGTTGCGGAATCCCAGAATCTAGTTTCGGAAGCCTAGTTGCGGAATCCAAATAAAAAAGTTACGGAATCCTATACAGTTGCGGAATCGGACTTTGTCGCTGGTTCCAGAGAAAGAAGGGTCATGGAGAACGAGGGACCCTCTCTGGTGACTGTAGTGCAAACTCATCGCACACTGTGCTCTTTGGAGAAACCACATGAAACCACTGTGTTCCACACCTTTGGCCTTCTGACCTCGCACCTCTACCAACATCTACCAACAATCCCTGCGAGCCTTCACATACCCCAGTACCCCCGCTCCTGCCCTGAAATTTGATGAAATTGACCCTCTGTTCATGGATATGCCGGCATCGTTTCACGAACTTCTCATAACAAACCTGGTCCAATGATGTCCAATGACTTTTACCCAAGCAACATACAACTGCCTGACCTAGACGCCCCCTCGCGCAAGTGCAAAGACAGTATTGTGTGTATGTTTACAGGTCTGGCCCATGTTTATTATCAATCTTCATGAGGTGATGATATCTTTCAAAAAAGGAACCTAGCCGCCAGATTGGTGCCGGGCAACAAGAACCTCCTGCGCTCGCAGAACGTCACCTCAGGGAGACAATGTGGGGATGATGTTCCAGTTGTGGAGGCCGATAGAGACATCTAGCAAAACTAGGTATCACCAATATCAACGGCAACAATATGATGCTCTCTAGCAGATTCAGCGTGCATTCTCCAGAAACAGGATTTCAAAGCACATGTTGACCAATTGTTGACCATAACACAAACAAACGTCACCCACCAATTCTTCCCAATCCAAAACGACCTTGCTTTTTTCCGACCTTGATTCCCCTACAGTGGATTGAGCATTCTCTGGCTGTGGTACCGCATGACTTAGGAAGGCCCCACCTGTTGCTGCTCCATGCAACAGCAAATCTGCCGGACTCAGCTTCCTCTGTCCTGCAGGCAGGTCTGGGGAACTGAGGCTCCCAAGAACAAATGACAGAAAGCCAAGCACACATGGTTTGACATCGGACAGTGATGGCATGTTTGGAGCTAACACGGTTCCAGAAATGTGCCGAAGAACAGCGGCTAAGCAGCTCCTGAGTAGTCCGCTCGAGGAGCTTCTCGATCATAAGCTCTGTGAATCCGGTGTCGATAAGACATCGCAGGACGAGGGCTTCGTGGTGCGATGATAGGCTGCTCAGGAAAGCGGACTGGCAGGGTTGGAAGCGGACTCACCAAATTGTGCGAACTGGTTCACTGGTGTTTAAGACAGCGGAAGTATACAAAGTCGAACATGAATCAGTGACTGTAAGTGGGATCTATGGTCATAACTTGGAACACTATCTCTTTCGCAATGGAAAACGGACAAGAATACAGCAATGTCGTGGCATGATGTGGGACGCCTGTATCATGAATATCATGAATCATGAGGATGTCCTTTATTCGGCAAGAAGGACTCTTGAACACCTCAAAGCCAACCCTCCCCAGTCCAGCCTGCCCCGGTGCTGCTTCCAGCACCACTGGCAGATACACCGCGGAGCGTCGTCGCTCGGAGTCCACGCACCGCGCGGAGGGCGGAGCCAAGCTCCGGCGAAGGAAGATCGCCATATGTAGCCATAGCCGTCGTGTGAAGACTGCGTTCCCCACACCAAGCAGCCGCTTGTGATACAGAAAGGATGTTGTCATGCATCTTGATGCAGTCAGAGATGTGAAGTCTAATCTTTTGGTATCCTTTTTGTCATGATTCTGAGAACCCCTTTGCCTACACACACATTTTATCGGTCCTTCTAGTGCCAAGGAACCGCTGGCAGCTTTGGCCAACGAACCTTGAGCTAGGATGGAGTCAACATTTGCTGCCCTTCTTCAAAGCAGATTTTGAGTCGACCCCACACTTTCAGGAACAAACCCTTGTCAAACATATCAACTTCCTCGAGACCAAGTGTTTCACTGCAACGCGCCGACACATGACCCAAAAACTGACACTACCATGGTCGGCCCACTGTATGATGCCTCATCGTTGACTTAGTCAATATTCTGGCATCATCGCTGCTGAAGGTACGAGTATCCCCCAGTGAGATCACTGCTGTTGCTTTTAAGCAACCATTTAAAGAATCAAATAAAAATAAAACCCTGACCAGAAGCCTGAACGAGCCCTTGCTGAAGCTGAAAAGCTCCCCAACTCAGCTTCCAGCTGCGCCGAACGCAGCATGGACCGAGCAACATCTGGGGCCTCCGAGCCAAGGACGCTCTAGGCAGCACAGGGGGAAGCTGACGACAGCTCCGAGTTTTCGAGGACGAGGAAAGAAGGCTGAAGGCTGTTTGGGTCCGTGTTGGTTAGATCTTGAGAGGCATGTTTAGCATGGCAAATCATGGCAGCATCTAGTATAGCCACATATACAGCACTCCAATTGTTTGGTAGTTGTTCTTCATCAAACCTTGAAACCTAGACATACGCTGCGAGTACAGCTTTTTGCGTTGCAAGGCTTTTAGCGCGAAACGGGCAACTCTGAGTCCGATCGTGTCTCCTCGTCAGAACACCCTGTGAGTCGTGGAACAAGCTCGAGATGCTCCGTGAGTTGAGTCGATGCTGCTTTGGCAACATGCTATATGAACTGATCTTCCTTTTCAGTGCTAAGCATGTCCGGTGTGTTACAAACGCTAGAAACGGTTTCAACATGTTTAAATCGGTTCTAGAGTGAGTTCTTCAAAAAGCCAAGCTCCCTTTAAAGCCTTAATTCAGTGCACCGTCAAGTGGATCCCTTGCCAACCCAAGGCAAATTCGTCGGTGAACTGACTGGACTGGAACTGATTTCTTGCGACGCTAGCCTCCATGCTAGGTCTGCCAGGTCAAATGACAGAAGGTCAGGGAGAAACTACTTAAAAAACAGCTTCTTGCTCATTCTTGTTTGAGGGTAGGGGCTGTGTGCTGAAGAAAATCATTGAAAGGACTAGAGGCAAGCTGATCTGGCCATTGTCGCGGACTCAAATCACAGTTGACAATACACGTCCGCTTCATGAAGCTTGAAGCGCACAGGCACATTTCAAGCGGAACTTCAGCTTTACAGCTACAGCAAACAAAGGCTCCACGCTCTCGAGCGACCTTTCAGTTTCCCTCCCCGAAGACGAAAAACAAACCCAACAAACCAGGCACATGCTGACGCAGCGGTCTCACCTGGTAGCACAGCTGTCTGTGGCCAGTCACAGGGCGCAAACCACAGTAAAACCAGTGGTCACCACCTGAGCGGGAGCCAAAAGAAAGAACACCCAACAAATAGTGAGAGAATGGCCAATGCCAAAGTTACAGTTGCAGCATCGGTTAAAACGAACTAGCGGCCAGCTCAGTTGGATCTGAGACCTTAAGACCTTTGCCGGTCTCCAACCATATCACAAAGAGTCAGAAACATAATGGAATTGCCAATCAACATTTTAGTTCGTTCTTTCTCATTCCACCTCCTCGCATCGTTCTTATTAGTTTTTTTTTTTTTTTTCTGGAAGTCAAAAGATGTCAAACGCCTACAGCCCTCGAGCTTGGAATTGATGTCGGCAGTGGAATCCGTTCTTTTTCAATGCTTTTTGGACCCAATTTTTGAGTCCGTGAGTGAAACTGATCCAACTCTGAATATGAATATGTACACATCTTCAATGATCATTAACCGTAGTCAAGATGAGGATAACGCCTCCAAGGCTTTACTTTTGTCGGCACCGTTTATGGCGGTAGCCGGACAGAAACTGTCTTCAGTCTCTGGTCCAGGCTTCATCACTGCCTGGCATGTTCGTCACCATTAGGACTTCTCGCCAGTGGCACGCATCATGGTCAAGAACTCCTCAAGGGGCAGGCTCAATCGTGGGTTCATGGCTTTGAACGATTCCTAGCTCCTCATCGAGTGGTGTAACGTGTGGAATGAGAGAGTTGTATTCATTGATGAATCAATTCCTTTTTCCTCGGATCTGTCAGATCCACTATTACACAAAAGACTGAAAGAAGTCTGCAACAGGCTCAGGAGCACCATCAATGGCTATCAGCGTAAGCAGCACACGGTATTGGACAATCCAACATACCCATCATCATGACTTGTTCATCATTTATGAGCGCAGTTCTCAAGTGAGTCAAAGCGGGAAAAATGGAATCACTTGGAATATCATCACTACCCCAACTGCCATCAACAAAAACTATTTATATGTATACATCATATATTTGATTGATTACAACTGTTTGGAAGGTCCGTTCGGAATCATCTTCCATCTATCCCGAATCTGTTACCACCTCGCGGGCACCGTCCAACAGCCCACGGGTTCGGAATCTGAAGGGCTCGGAATCCGGGCTCACGGGCCACGGGGGAACAAAACACATCGCCGAATCCGTCGGGGAAGGAGGCCAAAAGAAATATACAGTACCATAATTTGTATTCTGGAGGTGGGTTGGGGTGGGGTCGGGGCTTAGCTCAGACCTAAAGGATACCAGGATACCAGGATACCCATCAATATATAGATGTCGCTGCCGATCGATCTAAACAGCTAAACCGGTGGACTCCTCGAAGTCGATCATGCCATCAGTGCTCTCGACCTCCTTCAGCACCTCACCCAGTGCAGAGGCTCCAAAGGCGCCAGTCACCTGATGCATCCATCGCTGGGTCGCCAATCTAACGGCACAGTGCAAGCAAAACATTGCCAAACTACGCATCATTGAGAGTGAAGAACATGATACTCAGTCAGTTGCACATGGCGTCCAAACAGAAATTAGTTTCACGAGAAACATCAAGAGGACCACTGACAACATTGCCAACGACAAACAACTCGCGAGATGACCATTCGGCCGACTCCACCTCTGGATTTTCCAGCACTGGCTTCATCTGATGCGCAAAGACTTTGCCATCGCCATTCCTGATGAATACAACCCATCAGTGCTCTGCAATCAACCACGTGTGTGTTTTGTGGCGTTCCGCAGCTTGCAGGCAGTGCATTTGCAGTATTTGTTTCAACAGCACATGACATGCTGTATGATGTCCAGCTGCTAAGGCCCCATTTCCACCAGGACCCAGCATGCAGCGGACGCCCGCTGCCGGACGGTATCGCTTCCAAGCTCGGAACGGAAGTTCGCTGCTTGCAGCTCAAGCGTCTGGTCGCAATCCCTGAAGGCAGACCAGCAAACATCCTGGTCGGGCAAGCACCAAGTCAATACGATCCCTCGCTTTGTGAGACCAAGGTGAGTGTCAGTCTTCAGATACAATCCAGGTATAGAAGGAAGGGGGTTACTGCTGCAGCTGGCAAAGAATGAACACTTGGGGGAATTCAACAAGTGATATATTTGGATGTGGCAAGGAGCTTTGCTGTTCAGAAGAGGAAGGACCAGTTGCTACCTCAGCAACTGATGTTGACTGATGACTGCATCCGCATCAGTAGCATGCTACATGAAAAGAGCTGTGGTGTGGTCAGTGTGGTCTTCAAGAACGTGGTTAGAGCACTCACCAAGAACAACAAAAAAGCAGTCTCAAAATTGAAATCTTTAAGGGAGTAGATCACGATGGCAAAAATACCATGAAGTCTAAGCACAAACTCAACCCCAACCAAACGCTCATCCCTGCCTCCTCGAAGTCAAAACGCCTGTTCCAAGAAGACTGGAAGAGGTAAAATGGGTGAACAAAAACAACAAAGTGCATTAGGCATCACAAGGAAGATGCAGCGTGTATCAGTGTATCATGATAACTTATGATAACTTCACTAAATGAATTGTACCACTTCATTGCCATGCCATCAGCCTGAGTCAATGTTTTTCATGGCTTCATGACATGACATGCATCAAATTCGGGCCGGCTTCCTTCCGAGACTTGCGTCTCAAAATGACGAAGACAAATAAAGAACTGGTGGTTGAGAATACTCTCTTCTGCGAAGCACTGGAGGATGGCAAAGAGGCCTTCGTCACCTAACTGAAGAGAAAATGGCGATCAATCAAAGTGAGCAGAGCAATGAAGCACTGACCAATTCTTCCGACAAGGTGGTGGACAAGGGGTGGTAAGTATGAGACACCAATTGGAGACGAGACTGCGGTCTCCAGCGCTTTTTGAGGACACTGATATATGATATATGGGTGTGTATTCAAATTGGGAGACAACTCAATTCGATCCCCTGGAAGGTTGAACCCTTCGGAAAATCAAACAACCTTCCCATTGGGCCCGGGGGGGGGTCTCCGCATCAAAACACACACCCATCTTCAAGCAACTCCACCCTACATCTTCAATCGGTCTGCTGTAGTCTGGAGGCCCTGATAGACTCCGTGATGGAGTCCCCCGCATGGACGGTGCCAGTCCATGGTGCCTGTCCAATGCTTTCGCCAGGAATTCGGTGTAGTCAATCGGGCCATAGTCTTGAGGATCTATAGCCTGAAGACGTGGAGACTGGGCCGGTGGAGGAGTCTCTCAGAGGTGAGGCAGGCAGATTTGGGAAGCAAACAGAGCAGAAGAGCTGCAGTTTCCGTACCAACCCGGAATCTGGAAGGAAGGAAACAGTAAGAAAGACACGCTTTCTTTCGAAATGGTCCTGTTGAGTCATTAAGGCCAGTTGCCAACTTGGATTCAACACACAGAAACTTGTCAGTCTTGACTATTATTTCCCCTCCGAACAAAGATGGATTGGGTTGCGCATCCAAACTGAAAAGATAGCCGCTTTCCAACCAGTCCAGCCAAGATAGGTCGAAGAGCACATAATTTCCGATTGATGCTTTCCCTTTGAATCAAGCCGCTGGAGACCATCCTATTTTAGATCCACATCTAGTACTGCTCTTCCACTTGGTAGATTTGATGCTCCAATTCCTATCACTGAACATTGACTGAAGGGGAGAAATGTCCACATCAGGTGATAAACAGATCGACGCAGCTCCATGGCACAGCCCTTGTTCATGCAAATGTACAGCTTACCATTTTCACCGTGCACGGCCTGCCTGCAATACTCCAAGAGCGTGGTTAGAGCCACTAGACAATATGTCTTTCTTGTTTTCATGGAGAGATCCGGCCTCCATGATCTCCAGCAAATCGGCAGGGATCTCCTTCAATCCAGCCTGGTCCAAGCAGCATTTAAGGAGATGTGGGCATGGGCCAGGCATGAGTCATGTCACTGAGCTGATGCAACCCACTGGAGCAATGTATGTTATCCATGTACCAGGTGAGTAGTGAAACTTCCTGCATGGGCGACACCTACTTAAAACAACTCCTAAAGCAGGATGAAAAACGCATTGCTTGGCAACCAAACTAAGCCGAGATCCATCAAGGGATCAATACTCTTGATGCTCAGCAATTCAAGAACTATGCTCTTGAAGAAATCACACCCAGGAGAAAAGGTGCGCGTACCGCAGCTATGTTCTGATCCACAACAGCCTTCCATGGCTAAGGACACTAGCATGAGGTTGCCATAGGTTGCCATTAGTTATTGAAAAGTAATGGATATCGCTTGCGTCAAAACCGATTCTGACTTGTAAGGACAAACTACAGCCACTCAACTTCATCTTGGTTCACCTGAACAATGTCATGCTTCAGGTTGTCAAACCTTTTGGAATCGGGATACTTTCAAGAACATGGCTTGGGTCTATCCTATTTCCAGGGGCCCAATGGATGATGATGGGGTCTGGTTGCAGGCCTTTCTCTAAAATAGTGATGTCCTTGTCTACTGAAGGCTGAAGGCTCTACAGGTACTAGTAATAGGACAGACCCTATACTGTAGCCTCTAGCTATACACACAAATAGCTTTCTTCCGTCTTTGCACAAAAACACACCGTAAAAGCTTCGTTTTTTTGAAGCTACCCAAGTCTTCTTTGACACATCGACGAGCGAATGGTGGAAGCAATCACTCGCTTCCGGGCGCCTGCAGCAGTCCTTCCTTCAGGTCATGTCGTGTGATCTGTCCGTCGCCTGGCGACCGCTCCAGCTGGTCGGTGTGGCGTTTTGTTCAGCGGACGCGGAGGGGGGTGGTTTCTCCAAACGACTCCGGTTTTCGGTTGAAACTGCTCCTAAATTTCCCAAGTCCTTCCCTGATTTGAGCAGTGCAAAAGGATGCAAAATTGGACGTGTGCCAGCAATATATACGACAAAATTCAAAATCGTAGTGGCATGTAGTGGCATTACGAGGACCATGAACAGTTTCAGACAAGAATTCTCAGGGAACAAGGGAAACATGTTCTCATTCAAGAACACGAGTGAATTCGCACCTCAGCGTAAGGTACACAAGAATACATACAGTAAGGATCCAGG